CAAATCCACAAATTCCTCAAAGTAGACAATATCATACCAAGCACGTGGTACCAAAGACATGTCCTTAACTTAGTAATGTCAATAGAATTCTCACATGTCGAATAGAGAAAGGTACATTTCAAAAGTGTTTGAAGTGTCGAACAAAGGGTTTATTTTGTTCAAGGGCAGGCTCTATAGTCTACTTTGTTCGAGTAGAGTACGGTTAGGAATGAGTCCTACATTGACTAATTTACATGAACGTGAGTTTCAATAAACCGGTTAAAAAGATGTAATTTTTTTAATAGGATTGATAAAGAAAATAGTAAATAATTATTAAAAATGGGGTACGTGGAGACGTGGAACCATTGACATAAGGTCATGGAAGGTCATGGAATGGGGTCCAAATAATTGAGTGGTGAAAATATTTTAATATATTTTAAACAGATTTATTAATATTTATTTATTTATTATTTTTCAGGAGTCACGGGCGGACGGAAAAAGATAATAATAATATTCGAAATTGGCAAGTGACAGCAGTAGAAGCAGACAAGACAACCCTACTTTTTTTTTTTTTTTTAATTATTAATTTGGTCGATAAGAACGTGAAATGTTTGGTTTGGTGTGAAATTTTAATTTTAATTTTAATTTTATGTGTTTGTTTTGTTGTCGTGTAGTATGAAATATCAAATCTATGTTCTGTGCCACAAAAAGTGACTGTTTTTCATTAATCATTTTAATAATATTTTTAAATATGCTCATTGCTTGTCGTTTTTATTTTCGGTAAATAAATATTAATACCTTAAACTGCATAATAATAATAATAATAATAATAATAATAATAATAATAATAATAATAATCATTGTTGGAACTTGAATTTTATGATCATCCAATTGAATATAACATTTATTTATCTAAAAAGTTATAAGTTTGTATTATTTTCATGTACTAAATTAAAAAAACATTAATTAGCCATAAATTACAAATAATAACAATAATGAATTAATTTTTAATTTTGTCTCATAAATTTAAAAATAATTTTAATATGAATTTGAATTTTATATCCGGTGTCTAATACATTTTTTAATATATTCAAAATGTTAAAAGGATTTATTCCATATATAAATGTGTATGTTTTTTTTAATGATTAAAGAGACAGATCCACCGCTAAATATTGTCTTTTTTGGGCTGTCCCTCCCACTTCCATTCGGGGCCCAGCGTCCTTACTGGCACACTGCCTCATGTCTACCCCCTTCGGGGATCAGTGAGAAGGTTGCCACATCGTCCGGTGTCTGGCTTTGATACCATTTGTATCGACCCAGATCTACCGCTAACAAATATTATTCTCTTTCGCGCTTCACTTTAAGACTTTAATACGTGCCTACTAGGGGAAGGTTTCCACACCCTTGTAAACGGTGGTTTGTTCTCCTCCCCAACCAATGTGGGACATCACAATTAATGTCTTTATTGTAATAGTCCAAGTCTACCGCTAACAGATATTGTTTTTTTTTCGAGCTCGTTACGTATCGTCGCCAACCTCACGGTTTAAAAACACCTGTGCTAGGCCCAAGTTTCCACACTATCATAAAGAAAAGTGTTGTTCCTCTCTTCAATCTCATAGTAAGTATCTGGATTAGTATTTGTTCTGCCATGTAACTATGAAAGACGTGTAAAAGGGAAAGTCCATACGCGTTTTAAAAGCTTGAAGGGAAACCTAGAAGAAGAAATGCAAAGAGGACAATATCTACTAGCGGTAAGTTTGGACTGTTACATTAATTTAATTTCGAACTCAAATAAAAATAAAATAATTAAAAAAATTAAAAATTTTAATTTAATAAATATTTTTGAATATGTGGATTTGCTAGGGTTCGAACACTTCCTGAAAGTATTTATAATGTTATATTGGGCCGGGCCTGATTTTAAACAGAAGCCCAACTTTCATGGGCCACAACAGGCCCACTCGAAAGGCGAAGTTTTCTTGAGGAAGAAGCCGGTAGCTTAGTCGCTGAACTTGCTGAAGTACAAATCTGCCCTGCTCTATCAGCGATCTGAGCGAGCGAGCGGCCTGGCTGGCTAGTTCTTTCTTCAATTTGTTGCTGTTACTGAACTTCGTTTCCAGGTGATGTTCTACTTTTTCTCTTTTGATCGTTTAAATTTGGAATAGGCAGACATTTGGAAGTTCGCTTTACGAAAAACGGATCTTCGAGGGTTGTGTAGCTATCAAATTGCAACATAGAGGAGTAGATTTGGAAGGAAATACTGGAAACTGTTGTCTTTCGATGTTCGGCCGCGTTCACCTGCTTTTGGCATAGTATGGAATATGAGAAGTGTTCGTTATGAGTTGAACATAGCAGTGGAATTTGAAAATACATTCAAGGTTTAAGAGACGTGGGATGGGATTCTGCGATCCGTTTCATTATTTTATTTTATGGTTTTAGGAATTAGGCGAACTGTAAGTGTTTCAGAATGCTAACTAGTCATTGGAAAGATCAACCAGCTCTCTCCCCTGATTGGCCTATCAAGGACTGGGAGCCACTTTCTGGATTCTCCCATTATGGAGTACTTTGGTGTCTAGGGAGATAGTGATTCAACCCTTACAGGTGGTGGTCCTAATGTGGGGAAGGAATACGGTGTTAGATAGGAAATGATTATGGAGTTTTCCTTTTGAAGATTTATCCATTTGGTATACTATCCTTGTTGAGTAATATCCAAGTGACTCCTTGGTTGGAGAACGATCAATGCAAAGAATATTATAGTGGAAGTACTTGAAGTATCTAGCTTTTCCGTTTATGATTGATTTGCAAGGCTGTTTTCTTCAATTGGTTAGTGCGAGAGGTAGGTCTGAGATACCGTTTAGATAGTTGAATACCGCTTTTCTAATTCCTCAACTCGATTAGTTCATTGAAAAGCTCTGGCATTTTAGACTCGTACTGTTTTGACACTAGAGGTTGGAAGTCAGGAAAATCCAATGCAACTATTGAGTCTTCTTTTGAAAATTTCAATAGGAGTGAATTTGTTCTCTGCGTCGTTGTCAATGAAGATATTCTGGGAAGCTATGTATCGTGAGAGAATGTAGTTCTTTTTTTTGGTCTTGACTCTATTATTGACTCCTATTGTAGATTAAAAATGAGGCATCCCACTAAAATATTAATTCTAGCAAATGTATTTCTATAAGGTGGTGAGCGAGGGGATTACTCTGACTGGAATATGGACTTGTCAAGCTGGACCATTCATTCATGTGTCTCTATAATGCACATGAACAAATGTATTCATGCAACTTGTAGTTTTTGTTTTGTTTCCTTTGGATTTTTATGCCCTGTATTCTGTTTTGTACCCTCCGGTTTGTAACAAAAGTGTACTCTCTATCATCATCGATAGAGTAGACAAATTATTCTGTAATGTAGAAAGGGGAGATAAACTGCGCTATGGGGGAGCAGCAACTCATGGGGGATGGAGGAAGCAGACTAAAGTTGTTTGGATGTGTGTGTGTGTGTGTGTGTGTGTGTGTGTACGTGAGTGAGAGAGGGAGAGAGAGGGAGAGAGAGAGAGAGAGAGAGAGAGAGAGAGAGAGAGAGAGACTGAAGTTATTTGGGTGTGGGTGTGAGAGGGGAGATACTTTTTAATGCCAATATGGCAATGCATTTCTAGATCCTCAGAAATCATGCAATTCATTACGTTGGAAGTGTTGAAACGTACAAAACTATACAATTGGATTTAAAATACATACATACATATTATATATATAAATATACGTGGCCCCTTTGTCTTTGTTATATTTTTATGAAAGAGGTGTCATTAGTATGTTGTCATGTTTGTCTCCCATCACTACATCCATGCCACTTTGAGTGGGATTATTCTGCCCTGCTAGATTATCCATTCTTACTGTCCTACTGGTTTTTTTCTCCCTCTTCATAACAGGATATCAAAAACATGTCTAGGCGATATGATAGCCGAACAACAATCTTCTCTCCAGAAGGTCGTCTTTACCAGGTTGAATATGCAATGGAGGCAATTGGAAATGCAGGCTCTGCAATTGGGATATTGTCTAAAGATGGAGTTGTCTTGATTGGTGAGAAGAAGGTCACTTCCAAACTCCTGCAGACCTCAACTTCCACGGAGAAGATGTACAAAATTGATGATCATGTTGCATGTGCTGTGGCTGGAATAATGTCTGATGCAAACATATTAATCAACACAGCAAGAGTTCAAGCCCAGCGATACACTTATGCTTATCAAGAGCCAATGCCCGTTGAGCAACTGGTTCAATCTCTCTGTGATACAAAGCAAGGCTACACTCAGTTTGGTGGTCTACGGCCCTTTGGCGTTTCTTTTCTGTTTGCTGGATGGGATAAAAATTATGGCTTTCAATTATACATGAGTGACCCAAGTGGAAACTATAGCGGTTGGAAGGCTGCTGCAATCGGTGCAAACAACCAGGCAGCACAGTCGATGCTCAAACAGGATTACAAGGATGATATCACCAGGGAAGAAGCCATCCAGCTTGCACTTAAGGTGCTCAGCAAAACCATGGACAGCACAAGTCTGACTTCAGATAAGCTTGAATTAGCTGAGGTTGTCCTTTCACCCTCTGGAAATGTCAAGTATCAAGTTCGCTCGCCCGAGTCCCTAAGCAAGTTGTTGGTGAAGTCTGGTTTGACTCAACCGGCTGCTGAGGCTTCCTAAACGACTAGATGCTGGATTACTTGTCACTTGGTCTAATGCATTTCATCTTCTTCATATGACCTGAAGTGAACACTGGTGTTTGGATATGTCGTTAGATTGTTGGTTTTATTAATGTGCACTCTATAAAGTTTATATTTACTCATGTTAGAAACGCTGGTAATTATCCTTACCATGTGCAACTATCAAGTCAAGTTATTACATTGCAATTATTTTTATCTTTTTGTTTGACGAACACCGAAACTTGAGCTTATCTGGTATTTTTATCATCCTTGTCTGTCACGTACTATCAATTAAATTGCATACCTTTAGCTGTGGTTACTGCATTCTCTCTCATCTCTCTCTCAAGGTAGGGAAGGGCAAAGGTCCTTCGTTCCATGGTATGAGCCTCCTTTTCCCTTGCAAATTTGTGAGAGAAAAGCAGTTACTTCTTGACCTGGAAAATGAGAACGTTAGAAGAAGAGAGAAGGGAAAAATAAATCGTGCAGAAGTTATCGTGGGTGCGTCGAAAGCGCATGAGGAAGCCATAGCATGCACCAAAACCTCAGGTAATTTTCCTCTTTCGCTATAGTTTCCTTTTCATTCTCAAAACTCAGTTGCTAGGGTATTTGCTATTCAAACTTGCTGTTGACTCTTTTCTACACTAATTTACATTAGAAGATAGCAAAGTTCTCTCCATTGGGATGCTTTTGTTTTTTGTACGATGCATGATGGGCTTGTCGCAATATTAAGAGCTGCTCTGTTCATGGCTAAAATTTGGTGGTAGAAGCTCATTTTAAACTGATGGGTTTGGATGTATTTGTAATTTGATTCACACGGTTTCATTCAAAACCTTAAACATGATGTTGGTTTGACATCCATGGAGTAAAGGTCCTTCAAATCCATCGACCAACTGGTCGGGGATTGAAAGCCTCTTGGGCCACCTGCCTCCGACAATCAACATCTCATAAGTTTTTAGGCAGCTAGATGTTATTCATTTTTGGGATGAAGGGATCCACATATCAAATGTGAATCTACTTCACTATCTATAACCCACACATCAAACTCCTTTGTGAATTCTGGTTTTAAATGCAGTTTTGGGTACAAGCAGCCATTTCCTTTGATCTTCATTGCATCCTGAAGGGTAAATTCTTTCAGGCTCACTGCTCCATCTGTGGAATTGAGAATGGCAATTCAAGGGATTTGGAATATTTCCTTCTCATTTTCAATGCATGATGTGATTGAAATTTGAAACTGAAGCAAAAGCAAAACGTGTCTCTGTGGAATTGCTGATTTCTGCTCTGTTCTATCATTAAATAACTGAGATTTTCACTGACATCATTTCATTGTTTTAGTTTCAGATAGCAGAAGCCTCCAAAGCTCTCCACATGGATGTCTGCCCATTTGCGTTTCAGAGCATAACGTACGATTATTGAACCTCTGCAAAAGTCATTTGGATTTTACCATATCAAAATCATCATGGCGGATGTTGGCTCTGCACCTACCGACACAATTCATCCATACACTCTAATCTCAGGTTTGAAAAAAAATAGTGCTGCTCTTCATCACATGTTTCTAAATCTAATATAGCAATCTTATTGGCGTATATTATAACATGCCCCCTTGCCTCCATGAATTAAATTTGTTTATTTTGGATCTAATACCAAACGGCTCGTAGAACTAGAAGCTTGAATTTCAAGTTTAGTCTCAAAACTTTTAAGTTCGTATTTACCAGGTCTATTAACTTTAAAAAATATTGAACAAAGATACCTAAGTCGCAGTATTTTTGAAATGTTTAATAGGTCTCTAAACTTTTGATTTTGTGTTTGAACAGGTTATTGACATACTCAAAATTTTAAAAAATTAATTATCTATTAGATACGACGTTGAATTCTAAGTTTAGTAAAATGTTAAACTTCTAATTTTTCTTTAGTAAATTTGTCAATTTTAAAAAATAGTCGATAGGGTTGAAGGACTAAATAGACAATCTTAAAAGTTCAACGACCTTCGTAAAGTTTACGATCATGACTTAAGGTGAGATGTCGATTGTATTCTTAGCAAATACATGAACTGTCTCAACCACATCGTACTGTGCGTGTTTGCATTCTAGTTAGTTGTTAATTTTCAGACTCTATCCTTGGAAAACGTTGGTGGCACTCACTATTTGATGGTCTATATCATAGGTACCATATGAAGGATAACTAAATTTAGATTAAAAAGGTAGAAAAGAAAACAGCACTGACACCATATGTAATTGTAAATGATATTATATAAACCCATGCTTGCAGCCATGTGGTATAGTGTATGGCACTGTGCTATCAAGCTTTAGGTCTCCTTTGTCTCTCTCGTCTTTTTGTATTGCCAATGTCTTATGTTTATAGACTTGTCTGACAACTTTGTTCTGATTAACATGTTTGCAAATAGCAGCTTCCCTCAACAGCTCTTCCTTTTGTATTGCTGATCCCACTTAGTGACAAAGATCTTTCATTTCTTTAATTAATTGCATTCTCTTTCAATATTAATGAACGTTAGAAACCACTTTTTGTATTTGGAGTGATGAATGTATTGATGGATTGTTGGTTAAGTTAGGTCCTGTACTGTTTTGTGTTTGCAATGAATGTATTTCCACTGTTTCCTTTTCTCGTTTTGCAGATGGGATCAACGAGAAGCCCTTAGGAGGGACATACTATTTATTGATATAAATATAAGGTGGTTGAAGGAAAGGCATTCTTGAATAAGAAAGGTCGGTAAATAATTTCTCTCCATAAAATATATATTTTTTTGTTCGTATAATCATCTCAAATATGAACGATATGATCTGTTTTTTAGGATATTGTGTCTTGAATCTTTCAAGTTTATGGTTAGATATTCTAAAGAAAGTAGTGTCGGTTCGTCTTTGTTCTATAAATTTTGGGAAAATATTAACATCGAATCCTCTCTTGTTGTATAGAAATTATTAAGGCGGGTAATCGAACCTAGCGTGTAAGGTATCAAGAGGAGAGTCTCATCAACTCTTTGAGTGATTGTGTATTTGACAGTCTCATCATAACAGTGGACCTAACTTCATATGAACTTCTCTTTTTTTCCTTTTTTGGATTAAAGATCACATTTTTACGATCTCTTCTAAACATTTCCTCCATTCCCAAATCCTTGCTTAGCTCAGCTCTGCTCTGCTCTGCTCCAATGGCTGAAACTCCCTTCTCTCTCCCTCTCATCCTTCTCCTTGTTCTCTCTCTCCCTCCTTCTCTGTCCCTTCAGTTGCAGGGGAACATCAGCGCCGCCGATCTTCAAGCTCTAAGAGTCATTAAAAACACCCTCACTGATCTCCCCCACCGCCGGAGCCCTTCCGGTCCCGGGTTTTTCTCCACTTGGGACTTCTCCTCCCTGGATCCCTGCTCCTCCTTCTCCGGCGTCGTCTGTGATCTCGGCCGTGTCACAATTCTCTCTCTTGGCACTGGTGGCTCTGATTCGCCTGGCCTTGCTGGGTCTCTCCCGGCTGCCATTTCCGACCTCTCCGAGCTTACCCAGCTCATCCTCTTCCCTGGCATTGTTACCGGTCCGATTCCGCCCCAACTGGGCTATCTCCGGAATCTTCGAGTTCTTTCCTTAACGAACAACCGCCTCACCGGCACAATTCCGGACACCCTTTCCGCTCTCTTTCGTCTCCACACTCTCGACCTCAGCCATAACCAGCTCGCCGGAATTATTCCCCCGACGCTCACTAAGCTTCCTGACCTGAAAATTTTGATCCTCTCGTCGAACCAATTCTTCGGTGAAATTCCTGCCGACATTTCGTCGCCTCTCCTTCATCTCGATTTGAAATCTAACCGATTAAACGGTACTCTTCCCCGGTCGCTGCCGTCGTCTCTCCGGTATCTGTCGCTTTCAGAGAACTCACTGTGGGGCCCTCTTCGCGACGGGCTTGATTCTCTATCGGAGTTAGTGTATCTCGACTTGAGCGTGAACCTATTCAGTGGGCCCATCCCTTTCTCTCTCTTCTCACGCCCTTCCCTCTCCTCTCTGCTCCTCCAACGGAATTCTTTCTCCGGCAAGGTCCCACCGCTGCCCGAACACACAAGCCCGGTGATGTATGGGGTTGGATCCGTCGTGGATTTGAGCCACAACAATCTGTATGGAGAGATGTCGGCAATTTTCGCCGGCGTCGAGACGCTGTTCTTGAACAACAACCGCCTCATCGGATCCATACCGGTGGAGTACGTGAAGAGTGTGAGAAGCGGCAGCACCACCACTCTGTATTTACAGCACAATTTCATATCCGGGTTTCCACTGGAAGCCGGTGCCGATTTGCCCGACACGGCGGCGCTTTGTTTGTCCTATAATTGCATGGAGCCGCCGGTGGGCGTACAGTCCTGCCCGGCCAGCGTCGGCGCGTCGCTGTCCCGGCCGCCATGGCAATGTCCACTGCTAAAAAGTCCATGAAAGTAGCTAAAATTATTAATAAATCATAGAATACAAGTTTTTTTTTCCCGTTTTTATTGGGTTTTTTTGGGTGTGAATCTCTTATCTTGTGTTTTTTTTTCCCACAATTGGGAGTTCATGTAATTGTTTTGCAACACTGATCGAATGAATACTTTAGTTTGTTGGTTCATATTATTAGAGAATGGAAGTTGCCTTAGAAATGTAAAATTATTTAAATATTATATCCCGAAACCATTATAACCATTAGAGTATGTACATTTCTAAATTCACTTTCAACCACCTATTATTGAGAGATATATGCATTATTGTTTAAGTTTTTAATATTTTCAATTTTTTTTAAAAAATTAATGTTCAAGTAATTCCGTATCTCACATATCTTCGACATTTATGAATCAAAAAGATATCCAGAGTTGAGGATCTAGATACAAGTTACAAATCTGCGAGAAGTATAAACACACAAAATTTCAAATTTAAGTAACAAAGGAGCATTGTCACTCCCTCTCAACAACAATCGATATTTCTTTTTAGTTTAACAATAAAAGATATTTTATTTACCGAATGAAATGTGGGATGAATTAAAATATGGGTAACTAATTGAAGTTATAAATAAGAATATTTAGATTTGAATAATATATGTTGAAGGAAATGAGAGGGAGAAGAGTAATGAATAAAGAGATAAGTGGAAGAAGGGGTGAGATTAATAAATGGGAATTTGAGGAAAGAGAAGGAAATAAGACAATGCAATAAAAGAAGGGGAAGTTTGTCACGCACCCAACCCACGAGCCCACCTTTCTTAGAGTTAATACTTCTATAATCGAATAAAGACTTCATATATAATCGTAAAAGTGATATTTTAAAATTTAAGGATTAACACGATACTATAACTTAAGTAAAGACACTAGTACGCTTGCATGGTGAAAGGTTAAATGAACTAATAAGGTAAGAGTATGCCACCATGACTGGTGGCCTCCTCCCAGACTGTTTAGAAACATAGATTCGAAGACAAGTTCAGGAGCAATTAGATTAAATGACGAGTTTATAGCTTTTGAGGGAAAATCTTTGATCTTTGTTTGGTTATAGTTAATACCCACTTGCAATTTCTCTCACAAGCACCTGTTCAAGAAAGAAAACCTGGAGACGGAGCGCACAAACCCTGATCTGGCTCCTTTCCTAAATGAAGCAGCTCGACCCATAGGAAGAAAAGCGAGATAAGTTGACATGGTTAGCCAAATAAGCCTCCTCAGTGACAATCTAAATAATTGTGCTGCATCATTCAATAATTTCTTGGGAGGGAAATCTAGAATCCAAGCAACATTATTGGGGAAAGAGTGATAATCCCATAAATCACTAACACTACCCCACAAGAAAAAGGATAACAGTAATGCATGGTAGGGACACAAGGAATAGAAAGAGAATAGACACTGCAACGTAGAATTTCAAGTAATATTTGAAACACACAATAATGATAGTCTAAAGAAAAAGCAGAACATGCAGATCCATAAGCTTAAACCAGTGACCATCCCACTTACCTTTACACGCATGGCTCTCACAGCACAGACAAGGCCTTGGCCTTGACCTTGGCCGTGACCTTGGGCGCGCACTCCCTGACACGCCAATCTTAAAAGTTGTTTCTTTAAGCACAATCTTGTTCATCTTTCTCCCTCTGTGTTTGTGCTTCTGATCCCCCATCTTACATCTTTGAATCTGCGAAACATGAGCACTTTTTTTAGCCCTTTTGGTTGCTGAATAAATAATCAAGAGGACCACACTGACCTGTCTACTTCAAGCTTCCCCCCCCCCCCCCCCCCCCCCCCCCCCCCCCC